GATTTGGAAAAAAAATTTTTTTTTGTTTATTTATTTTTTTTTTTTTTGAATAGTCTTTTTTTTTTTTTTTTTTGTTGAATAGTCTTTTTTTTTTTTTTTGTTTGTTGAATAGTCAGGTCTGCTCGAGGCTGTGCCGTAGACTGACTGACTACATTTGTTTATTTACTTCTATACAGGACCGAAACTGTCACTGTTGTCAAGGCTACTGAGTATAAATGGAAATTTGAATCTTTAGGGAAAAAACCGCGTTTTTCAAGTATTCGTCAAATTTTTTCAGTATTTTAAAGATCTACTGATCCGCCTCGTGGCGGAGACAAATCCAACAAATCAAAAACTATGAAAATTGGTCCAGCAGATCTCGAGTTTTAAGTGCTAATACACTTTTACACAACTCTCTTTTATATATATAGATTAATAGTATTCGGAGATTGGCAGGGATATACGTGATTTGTCAACGCAAAAATATCCAGTAATCCCCTAAACAGAACTAAATAATTGAAATAATACTTGTGTGTACCATACGCAGTACGAGCTTATAAATTTCCCATATCGATAAAATCGATAATAATTTATATATTTTTCAGACTTTAGGGTACCATTTTAGTATAACATTCTTGACTAGATCCTCTAAATTTTTGTTCGTTATATTAAACAAGTAAGAAAGCTCTAGTCGAGACTGCTCGACTACGAGATCCCCTGAACCCTTGGAGCAATAGATATTTCAATAATTTTTCGCGACTTTCAGTTTACACAAGAAACACGCACACACACACACACACACGCACGTACGCACACACACGCATACATACACAAACGCATACACACACACATACACAAACACATACACACACAAGCAACCACGCATAAACACGCATGGGCTGCAGTGTGCGCTTACTATGAGAACTTAATTGTTTAATAACTTTTTTATGGACGTACGATCTTTATGAAACTTTCAGATTATAATTATAACATGAATATGCATGTAATTGCCAAAGCACAAGTCTCTAGTATTTGAAATACGCTTTTTACAAAAGTGATGGTGAGGGGGTGAATTTAGAGGTGGGGGGTAAATTTTAACAAAAATCGAAATTGTATAAATTGCATATAAGTATATGTTGAAGCACTAGTATTTTCTTTATTCATTGTTGAAGCACCAGCGAGTTTCGGCGACGGACAAGTTCCAAACGTTACTGCCCTCTTTGTCTCAACTCTTTTTTGTGCTTGCCACCGAACCACACTCAGCGACAGCTGCAAACGCTGTCGCCCAGCTACAACGGGACATTTCTATGCTACAAATCATATTCGACCAATTACAATGCACCAAACGGCTGACGCAATATTCCTTTGAAATTACAACAGTCGCGAAATAGCAAGCAGCTCCTATTTCACATACTGACCACCAAATACTCTCAATAACTTAACTATGCAAGTTGCGATCATGTGTGACCAAAACAACCACCATACTCTGTAATAGAGCATTCTTTGTTCAAGGGCATCGAACACACAGGCTCAACTCACACACACACAAGTGCGAAGGCACGCAAAAAGGGAAATAGACAAGTAGGTAGAAAGCGCAATTACAGTGCTCGCCAATATATTAACACTACTTGCGCTTCGACACGGCCATCCTGACCTTATCACGGCCTCGTGTAACTCTTACAATAAAAAGCTTTACGCAATAAATCTTCTCATAAATTCGTTCATTACAAATATTTTCCATACAGAATATTATCTTCAGGTTTTAATTTCATTCTTGATCTAACATAATCCAACTGTCTTTATAATTCTTTACAGTATCATAGTTCCAACTGATCTACATCAAAATATCTTATGTACCACACGTCATCATCAAAGCATTTGTTCTTTATTTTTGCACTATGACAAATTCTCATTTTTCTTATCAGCTCTTCAAGCAGCCGTTCTATCTTCACTCATTTCATTGCTGACTATTTCAACCATTTCTCTTCCATTCAGATCATTACTGACTTTTTCAACTATTTCTCTTCCATTTAGCTCATTACTGACTCTTTCAGCCATTTCTCTGCCATTCAGATCATTACTGACTCTTTTAGCATTTCTCTTTCATTCAGCACATTACTGTCTCTCTCAACAGTTTCTCTATCATTCAACTCATTACTGTCTCTTGCAACAGTTTTTCAACACATTACTGTCTTTTTCAACAGTTTCTCAATACCTTACTGTCTCTTGCAACAGTTTCTCGATACATTACTGTCTCTTGCAACAGTTTCTCAATACATTACTGTCTCTTCCAACAGCTTCTCAAAACAATACTGTCTCTTCCAACAGTTTCTCAGAACATTACTGTCTCTTCCAACAGTTTCACTTTCAATATCATTCATATGATCATCACAACATTCCGAATTCAACTGACATACATCAACTCCATCTGGCAACTTCCTCATATCATCATGAGTATGATTGTATTTTCTATTATTTAACTATTTGTTCCTATTATTAATTTTCTAACAATTCAGATGCTTACAACTGTGCTCTAAACTTTAAATTTAACTTTGTTCGAAAGCTTTCTTAATTTTTCAAAAACACAGAGAGATCTTTCAAAAAAAGGATCATAGTAATTTTAACTTGTACATTTGCTTTAAAAACCTTTTTTTTTTTTTTTCTTTTTTTTTTCTTTTATTGTTTAATTAATTATTTTTTGAAACAAATCTCACTACGGCCATTCTGACATTTACACGTCCTCGTGAGTACAAAGTATAAACGAACTAGGCAATTGACAGAGTTTCCAACATAAAATAATTATAGCAAAGGCATTTTACTAGCTGACTACTCTTACATGAAGATTACTTAGATCATCAGGACAACATCATACCTAAAATCCTACTGTCAGTGGCTACCAGCGAGTCGATAGGATAACACATTAACTCGTGTCCCTAACAGCGCTAGCAAACCAATGACATGTTTATCAGTAAGACTCTGAGGTATAGTGTCTGATGTCCACAGTGTGTCTCACAAGTTACGTTCCACTACTCTTCCTACTCACTACTGACGTCTTTCAACGCCTTCATTTCTTTCTTCTCAACTCTCCTCACCCTTTAAGACTTTCTTTTACTCATTTACCAAAATAAATTACAAGTGAAATACAAAAAGCTGATTGACATCAACATTTAACCCCTGGCAATCAAAGTAAGGATCGAGCCTCGGCCAAAGAATTGCAACTTATTCACAAAATGAATTCCGTCAGAATCTCTGCGCTGTTCAGCCATATGATACTCACTAATGCATGAGAGATTTCTAGAAAATGAGTCAACATTACCCATTCTTCTGCCCTCTATGTACTGCAAATCAAATGAAAACATCTATAAATTAGCACACCATCTTTGTGTCCTGTAAAATATGTTACGTTTAGTTCTTGATGCCTAATTAACAATCAATAAAAACGACAATATTTGTGTCCGTCCAATAATAATAATGAAAATGCTGTATAACAGCACCGACAGTAATTGTAGTTGGCAAAATGACACTAATGACACCAATGACACCAAAATGAAACTCGACAAACAAACTCGAGAAATAATTTTTTTTTTTTTTTTTTTATAGGCTTTATCGAAAGATTTTAAATTTGTATACATTACACATTTTGCACATTCCAGTACTACGACTTGCCTTCAACATATTAAATGAATTACAAACAAATTTTGTACTTAGCTTTTTCTCAATGAACATTCTGGAACCCCCTGGAATCTCATTCTCCGCATGCAAGCATCCGCACATTACACATGGCGGCGGCGCTCCACTGCTCTACGCAATTTTTTTTTTTTTTTTTGTCTTTTGTAATTTTTGTGCCACTTTCCACTCTATCTCTCGCTCACTCTCGGTTTCATTGCCAAGCAAGAAAAAAAAAAACACACCGCAAGCCACATGAACATCCACGAACATGATCCTCCTCGCTGCGCTATTAATTTTTGTGAAGTTGCACCAATTCAAATTGCTCGTCAGATGCCGGCTTTTACAAGTTAATCAAATTAACAAATTTTAATTTTATTGTTTCATTTCTCATGTTGAGTCGCGAGCCAGATCCCACTTCTGATGTTAAAGCACTAGTATTTTCTTTATTCATTGTTGAAGCACCAGCGAGTTTCGGCGACGGACAAGTTCCAAACGTTACTGCCCTCTTTGTCTCAACTCTTTCTTGTGCTTGCCACCGAACCACACTCAGCGACAGCTGCAAACGCTGTCGCCCAGCTACAATCATATTCGACCAATTACAATGCACCAAACGGCTGACGCAATATTCTTATGAAATTACAACAGTCCCGAAATAGCAAGCAGCTCCTATTTCACATACTGACCACCAAATACTCTCAATAACTTAACTATGCAAGTTGCGATCATGTGTGACCAAAACAACCACCATACTCTGTAATAGAGCATTCTTTGTTCAAGGGCATCGAACACACAGGCTCAACTCACACACACACAAGTGCGAAGGCACGCAAAAAGGGAAATAGACAAGTAGGTAGAAAGCGCAATTACAGTGCTCGCCAATATATTAACACTACTTGTGCTTCGACATATACATTAAAAATTTGGAGACTCTAGCAATAAAGGTGTAGAAGCTATTATTTTATAACTGGGCTTCGATAAGGGTTTTTATCGATAAAAAAAGATCGAGATGAGTTATCGATTTTTAATGATAAACTTGATATGCGCGCTGTAATTACGGACATTTAAAAAAATTTGAAGTCTCTAGCTCTTATATCTTCTGAAATCGACGCGTTCATACATACGGACAGACGGACAGGGCCAAATCAACTCAGCTCGTCACCCTGATCAAGAATATATATACTTTGTGGGGTCTGCCACGCCTCCTTCTCCCTGTTACATACATTTCAACAAAACCATTATACCCTGATTTCCCATTGAAAATGGGTTCAGGGTATAAAAATACAATTGTATTAATCTAGATCTTTGTTTACAGATTATTACACGCATATACCATCTAATTTTTTTCAGCACAGCTGTATACATTCTTGTGTTTCGACTCCAAAGTTGTGAGCAATGATCGTATACGCTTTAGAATGTATCCGGTTGGTCTTCTAATATCATGCTGCTTTTATGTAATAACTCTGATGGTGTATTCATCAATCGAAAAGTTGCGAAATCTTCCGGGAAAAATTTTAATTTGTTTAGTAAGCAGTCTTCTTTTCGCCTATCTTGGAATTGCATTAGGACAATTGTTGCCTACTTCAAACAATGATATATGTTTTATGTCTGGTAAGTCAATCATTAATTAATATTTTGTTAAGCGAAAAAGATTTTTTGTAATACAGAATTAACACTAACCAGAGAACACATGGACAAGACATGTAGAACAAATTTTTTTTACAGCAAAAAATGTTAAGTTGCTTGGCTCGGTCGCTAGAAGCAGTGAAAGTATTGCACGACAAAGTCAGTGCGCTGCAAGCGCTCAAACGAAATGGTCCCATTCTTATATGAAGCACAGCTATGCGCTATTTGTCCTACTCTCTCTCTCTATCTGACTCTATGGTCTCTCAAATCACCGAAATCAGCAGCGTACAAAAATTCAAATTTGTTCGCAACGATCCCAACTCTTTCCTTTTGAAGGTTATACCTAAATTATAAAAGCGTTTGTCACTCTCATACAAACAAAATGTAAGCGTTTCGATGGATATTCGTGGGAAGGATATGAAAGCGTTGATGCGCATAAACAATATAATTTCGCCACGGGAAAGCACACACACACTTGCAGTCTCTGGAAATATATGTGAGTATTTGTGGCCTGTGCAAAATGTAAATCCAAAAATTTGTCGCTGGTCGGTCTTACGGATGTACATACATGTATATTCTTATACAAATTCATGTTTCAAATGCGTATATCGATAAATTACGGTAATTATATATAAATAACATTAGTTTACAGATAATTTCAATCGAAACAAGTAAGAACGTTGCAGTCGAGCTTTACCGGCTCCAGAATACTCATTCACATCCCATCAGCAATTTGGCAGCTAAGTTTCGCTCTAATACTGTAGTATTTGCCACGCCCCTACTGTGAGTAGACACCTCATTTTTGGTCAGTTTTTAGAACGAGCTAACGGTACCCTAAGTACGAAATTTGAATGCTTACGCTCAAAAAATGTGAAAATTACAGGGTATTTTTCGATATGCCACGCCCTTGAAGAGGCGTAAAAATCATTTTTGGGTAATTTTTGCCAGTCTGGCCAGCTATGCGGCGGACATATATCCGTCAAAGCTTTTTGGTCTTGGGTGGTCAGCCCGAGTATATATACCAAATTTGAGGTCTCTAGTACCAATAGTGTCCAAAATATGGCAGAATTAAACAAGTAAGAAAGCTCTAGTCGAGACTGATCGACTATGAGATCCCCTGAACCTTAACTGAAGCTTACACAAGAAACACGCGCGCGCACACACACACACACACACACACACAGGAGACTCGAGTTGCGTTTTCGTGGAGTACGGTCGACGTCATCGTGATCCATCGTGGACAATAGCTTGATCTGTGTTTTTCCCTGTGAAAGTGGAAAGAACTGTAGACAACGTGGTTGCTGTGGGCGCGACGCACCCAGCGACGGCAAAAATTATCAAAGACTTACTTCGCGGCGGTCTCGCGGAGTACCCCAGTGATACAAACCGGTGGTGCAAGAGAGGGGGGCAATAGCGTCACTGTTTTTGGCGTCAGGGCTTTCCTCTTTCCCTTTCTTTTTTTAAGCGCGAAAAGATTTGTCACATTAGGCGTCACATTTGTGCAAATAATAAAAAATCAGATGCATTCACTCTAACAGCTGTTAGTAGTGCTAGAAATTGCAGCGGACAATCAGTTGCTCACTAACTTTGGTGAGTTGCTAAATCTCAGCAAAGACAGCAACCTAGCTGCTGGTGTGAGGTATTAAAAGCAGGTATTAAAAGTAGTGCATACTTTCGGGCTCTCGCTGTAGTTAAGTTGAGTTTAAGTTACTGCGGTCTCTAAACTCAAATTATATTAGTAGGCAGTGCCCACTACAGGCTTCACGCCGTGGTAGTCGGAGCAATATGAAGGCCATGATGGAGGAGGAGCTGCAAGCTTTCGCGCGCCGTTCCTCGTTGCAGCGATCACCGCAGCAACAACAGAGGGCGTTGCCGCAGCCGTCGACTTGTAATCAGTCTCCAGAAGTGTTAGCCCAAATAGGAGTTACGCTAGAGGGGTTGTCTGCCCTATTTGGGGGGCAGCGGCATATAAATGCACCAATGAGAGAGGAGCTGGCTAGGCTGGTCAGTCTGCAATCGACCGGTCAAAGACTGCGAGGTGCAGACCACGCTGGTCAAGAAAGTAGCTGAGAAGGCAAAAACAGCGAGCGTTAGTGCTACAGCAGGTAGTAATACGCGCAAGCGGTCGAGGGAAGTTGCCACTGAGCAGAGGAAAACTCCCTCGAAAAAGCCGAGGCACAATAAAAGCGCAACAAATCCAATAGAGCCAATGGTTGGCAAAACCAACCAGGCAGGTCGACAGACGAGTTCGAACAGCTGGACGGTTGTTAAGGGACCCAAGCCGCTGCAAAAACGTTCCAGAAGTGACGCCATCGCGGTTTCAGGTGTAGGTGGTTGCAGCTATGCGGACTTGCTTCGCGTAGTCAAGAGCGACCCAAATTTAAAGCATCTGAGCGGCGACGTCCAAGGTATTAGGAAGACAGCTAAGGGGGACCTTTTGTTGCAACTGAGTAGGAAGCCGGAGCATAGCGCTGAGGCTCTGCACGAAGCTGTAGGCAAAGCCTTGGGTGACCGAGCGGTAGTTAAAACACTTACCGAATGGGCTCAAATTGAAATTCGCGACCTAGATAAGTTAGCAAGTAAAGAGGAGATCTTGGAGGCAATTAGGGTGGAGTTGAAGGATAGCTCACTCCCCATTGAGGCTATCAAATCGCTTCGGCCAGCTTTTGGTGGACAGCAAAGAGCTACGGTTGCTCTTCCAATTGGGAAAGCTAAAACTCTGCTCGAGCTGTCCAAAATTAGAATAGGAAGGGTAGTATGCCGTATCCGAGCTGTGGAACAGCCTAAACGCTGTTTTAAGTGCCTCGATTACGGTCATATGGCAGCAAACTGTCGCAGCGACTGTGACTTAAAGGGCGCCTGTTTCAGGTGTGGAGAGATAGGTCACAGTGCAAAAGCATGCACCAAGCCACTAAAATGTAGCCTCTGCATCCGGAAAGGTGAAAAGCAGACGGACCATTCAGCAGGCAGCTTCAAGTGCCCATCCTACCGTGAAGCTGCTCGTAAAATGAAATGTTAAGGTTCTTGCAGCTTAACTTAAATCATTGTATTGCTGCCCAAGATCTTCTAGAGCAGACCATTAGGGAAAAATGTATAGACGTAGCTTTTCTCAGTGAGCCCCACCACTGTATAACCAGCTGCCCTAGGACATGGTCAACAGACGTTAATGGCAAAGCTGCGTTGTGGGTATGCGGCAACTCAACGAACGTACTTTCGAATGTTAAGTCATTCAATGGGTTCGTACGCGGCCGATATGGTAGCTTATGGCTTTACAGTTGCTATCTGGCTCCCAGCATGCAGCTCAATGAATTCACGACGGTGCTCGACGAGCTTGCCAAAGATGCTAGGGGTCGGAAGGCCATTATAGCTGGAGATTTTAACTCCTGGGCGTTAGAATGGGGTAGCCTCACAACAAATGCCAGAGGTCGTATCCTACTGGAGATCTTCGCGACACTAGATGTTGCACTGCTCAACACTGGCCACGAGTACACCTTCAGTCGGGCGGGATACGGATCTATTATCGACATTACTTTTGTCACTTCATCCCTCGTTCGGGAAGCAACATGGAGCCATTGCGATAGCTATACGAGCAGCGATCATACGGCACTTCTATTCACAATAGGTGAGCCACCTGCCAGGGCGTCAACCTTGTGGAGGGAGTCGTATCGGCTAGTTACTTTTGATCCCGCGGTCTTTTCAGAGGCCATTCAATCTCTGGGCACAATTGGTAATGCTGAGGCCAGAGCATGCCAAATGGTAGCCCAAATACAGAGTGCCTGCAATAGCAGCATGTTACGCCGCAAGCAGTTCACGCGACAACAAGAGCCTACGTATTGGTGGAATGCACAAATAGGTGACATTCGTCGCAAATGCATCCAGGCGAGAAGAAGCTACCAACGGGCTCGCGGTAGGTCTACGTTTTCTGAGAAACAATTAGCTTACCAGGCAGCTAGAAGACAGCTGAAGAGGACCATTCGGGCAAGCAAAAGAGAATGCTTTTTAGAGTTGTGCGACTCAGCCGAATATGACCCTTGGGGCAGGGCATATAAGATATAAGATAGTAGTTAAAAGACTATACGCAGGTAGACAGGTGCAACCTACGGATCGTCTGGAGCTTAAATCGATTGTGGAAACGCTCTTTCCAGAAAGTTTAAGCTCCATTCACGCCCCTGGATCCGAGTCTGCTGATCAGGGCTCAACGAGCACTGAAATTGTTTTAGTCACAGAGGAAGAAATCATAGTAACTCTCCGGGGTCTTAGAATCAACACTGCTCCAGGGCCGGACGGGATCCCAAATCGTGCGCTAAAGCTAGCCCTCGCCTTGCACCCTAGTACGTTCGCTGAATTATTCAACGAATGTCTAATTCAAGAGACGTTCCCGGCAAAATGGAAAGCCCAGAAAGGTGTTTGAGAAATTGATCTGCTCTAGACTGGAGACTGCGATTACTAGCGCCGGAGGCCTGTCACCAAATCAATTTGGATTCCGGAAGGCCCGGTCAACAACGGATGCGCTAAACAAAGTTGTTGGTCTGGCCACTTCCGCCATCCATGGCACAAGATGGAAGCATGGGACGAAGCAATACTGCATTATTGCGACCCTGGACGTAAAGAATGCCTTCAATACAGCTAGTTGGGATATGATACTGAATGCGCTGTCACAATATAATATCCCTAAATATCTTAAAGAAACAATAAAGAGTTACTTCAGAGGAAGAACACTGGTATACAATACGAGTGAGGGTCCCCAAACTCATACAGTGTCAGCTGGAGTACCCCAAGGCTCAGTGCTGGGGCCTCTCCTATGGAATATCATGTACGACGGCGTACTACGCTTGGAACTACCAGCAGGTGCGCACACCATCGGCATTGCTGATGATGTAGCTGTCGTAGCCATAGGAAAGGAGCTCAAAGATACAGAGGATATGTGCAGCGAAAGTATCATATGAAGCTGGTTGACAGGAGCTGGGCTCGAGCTAGCAGCTGAAGTTGTCCTAGTCAGCAGTCGCAAAAGAGTGGAAACTGCCAATATAAAGATCGGCAGTGTCACCATTGCGTCAAAGAGGGCGATAAAGTATCTTGGCGTCATGATAGACACAAGATTAACTTTCCGCGAGCACTTAGAGTATGTGCATAAAAAGGCAGCTGATTCTTGTAGAGCTCTCTCGAGAATTATGCTTAACACGCGGGGACCTAAACAGCAACGACGTCACCTTCTAATGAGCGTCATTGGGTCCGTCATACTCTATGCTGCGCCAATATGGACAAGAGCGATGCCAACGCCGAGCTACAGCCGGGGCATTTGCGCGATCTACAGACTGAGCGCAATCAGAGTCTGCTGCGCTTTCAGGACTATCTCCGATGACGCGGCGCTCGTCATAGCTGGTACGGCACCACTGAAGTACTTGGTCGCCGAAGCCGTGGAGCGGAATTCGCACGCGCCTGCGCGTCTCAACGCTATCAGGGTGAACAGCATTGCACGATGGCAAAGAAAATGGAATAGCTCAGCTAAAGGGCGGTGGACGCACAAGCTCATCCCGGAGCTTGAACCATGACCCATGACCCAACCGCAAACACGGCGAGGTAAACTTCTACTTTACGCAGATCCTCTCGGGACATGGCTGCTTTCGGATCTATTTGAAGCGCTTTGGCCACGAGGAATCTGACGAGTGCCCCTGGTGTGAACGAGGGCATGTGGAAGACGTCAACCACATTCTTTTCGAATGTGGACGGTTCCTGGAGGAGAGGCGTCGTCTGGAAGAGGCAGTGGGCCGCTCCATCAGAGCGGACCACATTGTCAACGCCATGCTGGAATCGGAGGAAGCTTCGGAACTAACAAGCACCTTTGCGGCCACAGTGATGATGGAGCTCCGCAGAGTCGAGCGAATGAGAAGACGAGCTGTCCCAGGCTAAGGTAGCGCACAGTGCTTGCGAAGCAATGCTTTACGGCCGTCCCGCAAGCATCGCGCACTATCCTAGCCAACACACAACTTGCAACTTGTATTAAGATTGTCAATAAACGAATATAAAAAAAAAACACACACACACACACAAACACACACGCACGCACACAGGCATACATACACACACACACACATACACAAACATTTACACACACAAACACACACAAGCATAAACACGCATGGGCGCAGTGTGCGCTTACTATGAGAACTTAATTGTTTAATAACTTTTTTTGAGGACATACGATCAATCACGAAGATTATGATTATGATTATAACATGGATATGCATGTTTTTACAGAAGCACAAGTCTCTAGTATTTGAAATACGCCTTTTACAAAAGTGATGGTGAGGGGGTGAATATAGGGGTGGGGGTAAATTCTAACAAAAACCGAAATTGTATAAATTGCATATAAGCATACATTAAAAATTTGGAGACTCTAGCAATAAAGGTGTAGAAGATATAATTTTATAACTGGTTTTCGATAAGGTTTTTTATCGATAAAAAAGATCGGGATGAGTTATCGATTTTTAATGATAAACTCGATATCCGCGCTGCAATTGAAAAAAAAAATGAAATAAAAAAAAAATTTTTTTTAATTTGAAGTCTCTAGCTCTTATATCTCCTGAAATCGACATGTTTATACATACGGACAGACGGACAGACGGACGGACAGACAGACGGACAGGGCCAAATCGACTCAGCTCGTCACCCTGATCAAAAAGATATATACTTTGTGGGGTCTGCCACGCCTCCTTCTGCCTGTTACATACATTTCAACAAAACCATTATACCCTGATTTCCCATTGAAAATGGGTTCAGGGTATAAAAAATCACTATACCTTCAGATACGATTTGCCACGCCTCTAATGGGCATAGACATATAATTTTTTATTAATAAAATCATAACATTAGTCTACGTGCGAAATTTCAGCGTTCTAGCTTTATAACTCTAGGAGATATAGCTTAATCCGATTTGCCAAGCCCCCAATTGACATAGATATTTTCGCCATAGCTCATGATCTTGGGTGGTCGACGCGGATCTACATTTTAACTTTTCAACTAATATGATTTCCGGTATATCATATTTCCGATTTGCCACGCCCCTAGTGGGCGGATCGGGGATATTTTAACACTTTATAGATCGGAGATATGCACGAGAATGTGCTCCAAATTTTAAGTCTCTAGCTTCAATAACGCAAAAAAAAAATTGCGTTCATACGGACAGACGGACGGACAAGACGGATATTGCCCAAAACCAATATACTAATTCACTTTCGTGAATGAGTATAATAATTCACTTTCGTGAGGGAGTATAAAAATGATCGTGGTACACTAATAAGTTTATTAAATGCTTTGCAATCTATCGGATAACGGGCTATAATAACATTAAGTGGACATAAACATGTCATAATAACTCAAGATTTACTCATTATTGCCAAAATTACTGATGTAAGTCATGAAGGCTCATTTGACAGTCACTCTACAATTGAAACCATACAAAATTGACAGACTAGTAAATCGCGATACAATTATCATCCCACCTCATACATATATACACGTACATACATATGTATGCAAATGTTTGTGCTCACTCACAAGGCCGACCAACGGTAAATTTTGGGCATTACAATTTGCTCAGGCAGCAAGAGTTACGTACATACGTACGTACGGCCACAAATACTCACACATGTTTCCAGAGACTGCAAGTGTGTGTGCGAAATCATATTGTTTATGCGCATCAACGCTTTCATATCCTTCCCACGAATAACCATCGAAACGCTACATTTTGTTTGCATAAGCGTGACAAACGCTTTTATGATTTAGGTATACCCTTGCAGTGGCCAAAATTAAATGAATATCATAATCTGAATTATGTATAAGGCTGATGTCAGAGTGGCCGCGATAAGCGATGCGAAGTAAAGCGAGTTGCGAGAAAGCATTCCTGAATCGTTTTCTCGCTTTATCGCATGATAAAGCTTTTCTGATACGTATGTTTTCGTTGCGTGCTGAGCTTAAATAACAGTTGGTTAGTAGGTGAAATATATTCTTTTTTGGCAGTTCAAGCAATATTTCTCTTTTTCACTCTGACATGCCATCGCTTTGCAGATCGCTGCGATAATTATCGCTTGTAGCATTGCATCGCTTATCGCGGCCACTCTGACATCAGGCTAAGTATAAATACAAATAGTGGGAACGGATAATAAAATATAATTCGGTTTGTCATGAGTCACCCTACTGTCGTTGCTTGTTACCTATCTTTGTCTTATCATTCGCAATAACACAATAATCATACGATTGCACCACAAGCACAAGATTTATGATCGTACTATTCTTCCGCAAGTGCAATATTTATGACCGTGTGACTGTACAAAAAGCAAACGAAAGCGGGAGCAATTATCAGAGAACAGGCGATATCACAGTTATGCTTAGCGCCACTTAAGTTCAGTGCAGCATGAGCTAATCGACAGCAGACAGAAAGTAATAGATCATTGATGAGGGCAGACGTTAATCGCTGCAGTTGAGTGAAATAATGAAAACGTGGTGTGGGAAGCAGACTGTATAGATAAACCAAATGCATCGACAGTGTTAAAATAAAATCCAAAAGTGTAATAATTATTCGGTTATAGATCGAGAGGTACGATAGCATGTAAGATTTTTATGGTATATTAATATACATTATAACTTAGGCAGCCACCTGCAGCAAAGCAGTATAGATGCTAGAGCCTTCTCTAGGCCGAAGACTTCGGTTAAGAGCAAGTATCTCTCCCCATTACAATTTGCACAACACGCCAAGATCATTCTCAAAACACATGCCGGCAACATCAATTGATCTGCACTCCCGCAACAACAATTAAATTGCACCCAACAACAACACTTATTTTCGTCGCAACTACCACCAAATGAGGCTGAATATTTGCAAATACAAATCAAAGCAAAAAAAATGTTAAAGGAAAAGAGATAAATAAACAAGTAAGAACGTTGCAGTCGGGCGATACCGATTGCAGAATACTCATTCACAGCCCAAACGCTGTCAACCAGAGTATATAATGCAATTTTCAAGTCTAGTGCGCAACAAAAAACAGAGCATGATCCCATTCAAATTGGAAAATCATCGATAGCTGATGTTATCATTATTGCATCATTGCAGCTAGGATCTTGAAATTACATATATAATTTATAAAATTTTGATTTTTATTATATGTTTATATACGTACATATTTTTATATACATATTGGATACCGGCTTCAAGCTAGCAGCAGACACTAACCACAGTGCAGTAGATCAGCGCGAGTTTCCTATACATGTGCACACACTCATCGCGTATTCTATGCGTTCAGACAGAAGCGCGCCTTTTAGCAAATTCTAAAAATTTCGATAGATTTCTGGATTTTCTAGCCGTTACTGTAGTTTTTTTTTCAGATGCTAAAGGTGACGCAGCTTATGTTAGAGATGGGGAGGTTCGAAACCTTCCCCGATGTTTTTCTTTTTTCATACCATTTTTTTTAAACAAGTAAGAAAGCTCTAGTCGACACTGCCCGACTACGAGATTCCCTGAACCCTTCGAGCAACTGATATTTCAATAATTATTCGCATATACACACTTACACGCACACACAGGCATACGTGCGTACGCATAAACAAGCATTGGCTGCAGTGGTGGCTTACTATAGGAAGTCAATTGTTTAATAACTTTTCTTTTGGCTGGACTATCTTCATGCAACTTTCAGATTATATATATAATATAGATATGCATGTATTTGCTAAAGCACAAGTCCCTAGTATTTGAAATATGCCTTTTAAAAATGTGAGGGTGAGGGGGTGAATTAGGGGTGGGGGGTAAATTTTGATAAAAATCGAAATTGTATAAAATACATATAAGTATACATATAAAATTTGGAGAGTCTAGCTAGTCTAGTCCATAATGTTTTTAATCGATAACAAAATAACGGGGCAAGTTATCGATATTTAAAGCGGACCTAGGAAAACAAATTTCAAGTCTCTAGCTCTTATATCTTCTGAGATCGTCGCGTTCCAAAACCAGTAATAAATTTATATCTCCTACATCTTTAAGGCTAGAGTCACAAAATTTTTAATGTAGATTTATATGTACTCTATGGAATTTCGGTTTTTATCAAAATTTACCCCCCACCCCTAATTCACCCCCTCTCTCACGCTTTTCTAAAAGCCGCATTTCAAATACAGGCAGTCTCGACTAGAGTTTTTTACTTGTTTACTACGTTTCAAAAGATATCGATATTTAAATTGCCTATTATTAAAGAAACTTATATTTTAGGTTTTTTCGTATACTTTTTTTTAATGGCCGCATTCTCTTGGATGAATATTACATGTTTTGACATATGGAAAACGTTCGGGTATGTATATGTAGCTGTAAGAATCTTATGAAAGTGTTCTATTTTTATACCCTGAACCCATTTTCAATGGGGAATCAGGGTATAGTGGTTTTGTTAAAAGTATGTAACATGGAGAAGGAAGCGTGGCAGACACCAAAAAGTATATATATTCTTGATCAGGGCGACAAGCTGAGTCGATTTGGCCCTGTTCGTCCGTCCGTATGTACACTAACCACAGAATACATAGACCGGACAAGTAGTGTAAAGCGTTTTGCACACTTTTTTCGGTAGCTATCTCCCAGACCACTTCGAAATTGCTCGGCTCTGTACTTTTAGGTTTGGGCTACGAAAATATACGAAAGCACAATCATTTCGCTTCAAGCGCTCGACCGAGATGGTGAAATATTGAACAAAAGAAGCCATTATGCTCAATTTTTTCTTGCTCTCTCTCTCTCTCTCGATGCTCTCTGCTCTCTACTACTTACTACTTACTACTTACTACTTACTACTTACTACTACTTGTCTGAGGTTAGTGGTATCACTGACCAGAGAACACATAGACTAGACATGTAGAACAAACTTTTTCAACACCGAAAAAATGCGCTGAACGGACCGGACAACTTCGTATTTGGTCGGCTCGGTCTTCTGAGGCTCAAGCAGTGACAAAATCAGTGTGCTGCGACTGCTGCCACGAAATGCACGCATTACTAAATGAAGCACGGCTATGCGCTCTTTTTCCCTTACTCACTCTCTCCCTCTCTTTATGCTCTCTCTCTCTCTCTATATGGTCTCTCAAATAGCAGCAGCGCACAGAAATTGAATATTGTTCGCGACGATCCCAGCTCTTTCCTCTTGAGTGAAGGGTATACCGAAATCATAAAAGCATTTGTCACGCTCATGCAAACAAAATGTAAGCGTTTCGATGGTTATTCGTGGGAAGGGTATGAAAGCGTTGATACGCATAAACAATATTATTTCGCGACGGGCAAGTACACACACACTTGTAGTCCCTTGCTACATGTATGAGCATTTGTGACCTGCGTGCGTTACTCTTGCTGTTTGTAGCTTTTTTAAAGCCCAGCATTTGCATTTGGTCGGTCTTACGGACTGTCATAACCACTTTAAACAGATGTACTATGTATGAACATACATACATATGTACATAAGTACATTTATATATTATTATTGCTAATCATGTTTATAAATGTGTTTATACCCCCCTTGTAATGTGCTCACTTCACAAGGCAGACCAACGGCAACTTTTGGGCTGATAATAGACGAAAATACTGAGAAAGAATTGAGTTTCGCGACGCACGCACACAAAAGCACATACACGTAGCAAGGATGTAAATGTGTGTGTGCATGCTCGTCGCGAAAATGTATTCTTTCTGTGCACAACAGCCTTTGCAAATTGTAAAGCCCAAAATTTGCCGTTGGTCTGCCTTGTGAAGTGAGCACATGCATAAATACATTTGTGTATGTGTATGCTTGTATGGGATGGCAAGCTAATTGTCTCTGGATTTAGTAGTTTGTAAATTTTGTATGATTTGAATCGTAGGGTGACTATCAAATGGGCCATTATGACTTAATTAGAAATTTTTGACAATAATGAGTAAAGCTTGAGTATAATATGACATGTGTATTTCATATATTGCAAAGCATTTAATAAAGTTAGTAGTGTTTTACGATAATTTTTTCGGTTAAAAATGTGTATAAAATTATTTTAATTATATATAATTATTTACGGATATAAACACATTTATAAACATGATTAGCAATAATAATATATAAATGTACTTATGTACATATGTATGTATGTTCATGAATAGTACATCTGTTTAAAGTGGTTATGACAGTCCGTAAGACCGACCAAATGCAAATGCTGGGCTTTAAAAAAGCTACAAGCAGCAAGAGTAACGCACGCAGGTCACAAATGCTCATACATGTAGCAAGGGACTACAAGTGTGTGTGTACTTGCCCGTCGCGAAATAATATTGTTTATGCGTATCAACGCTTTCATACCCTTCCCACGAATAACCATCGAAACGCTTACATTTTGTTTGCATGAGCGTGACAAATGCTTTTATGATTTCGGTATACCCTTCACTCAAGAGGAAAGAGCTGGGATCGTCGCGCTGCTGCTATTTGAGAGACCATATAGAGAGAGAGAGAGAGCATAAAGAGAGGGAGAGAGTGAGTAAGGGAAAAAGAGCGCATAGCCGTGCTTCATTTAGTAATGCGTGCATTTCGTGGCAGCAGTCGCAGCACACTGATTTTGTCACTGCTTGAGCCTCAGAAGACCGAGCCGACCAAATACGAAGTTGTCCGGTCCGTTCAGCGCATTTTTTCGGTGTTGAAAAAGTTTGTTCTACATGTCTAGTCTATGTGTTCTCTGGTCAGTGGTGGTATGTATGAATGCGTCGATTTCAGAAGATATAAGAGCTAGTGATTCGAAATTTTTTTGATCGAGCTTTTCTTCAGGAATCGATAACCACTCCCAATATTTTGTTATCGATTAAAAACCTTATCGGAAACTAGTAATTAATTATATCTCTCACACCTTTAGAGGTAGCGTCTGCAAATTCATATGTATGACTCATATGTATTATTTAGAATTTCGATTTTATAAGTAATTAACCCTATATTATAATTAACCCCTATATTAACCCCTTCACCCTTCACTTCAATATCACTCACGATAATCACACCAACTTTTTGTTAACGATTAAACCTTATTATGGGAGTTCGAGTCTCAACAATAGAAAATCTCCTCAAAAAGTGAATCTTCTTTGTATTTATTTAACTAAATTGCTATTTTGCTCTTCAATGGAAGTTTGTTGTTGTCTTTTATATTTAATTATGGATTTCATAGGAGCTATATCAAAGGAGTTTACTTATTTTCTTTTTGGGAGCAGAGTGTAATTTTATTTATATATATGTACATCTATAGTCATATATGGCATCTCACGCACACTTTGCCAAAATCAGAGTTTGGTGACTTTTAATCGGCATCTTTGCTCTTGATACATAAACAATTGAGCATAGCCTCTCCATAAAGAAACAAGTAAGAAAGCTCTAGTCGAGACTGCTCGACTACGAGATCCCCTAAGCCCTTCGAGCAATAGCTATTTCAATAATTTTTCGCGTCTTTCAGCTTGCACAAGAAACACTCACACACACGCATACACTCTCTCAGTACAGCCACTTATAACACAAAGTCTGAACATTTAGAATAAAATCTTTTGCATAGTAAAATTGTATACTTTGAAAAAGCCTTAATTAA